CTAATTTATTTAGGGTCCAATTTTCGTATGAGGATTGCTTTGGTAAAGATTTTTTTAGCAAACATTCATCCATTTTTTTTTAGCATTCTTTGTATTACCTTTGTATATAATCAGACAATACCAGTTTAATATTGACATAAGGCCAGAGCTGGATCATCCAAAAGGCAGGCCTAGACAGAAGCCCAGAATCCGATTGATGTTATAGGACCCAACTACAACCTTTGTGCTCCTGCAGAAAAAAACAGGAGATAGCACAGTTTGACTAACTGTGCGTCTGTCTGTCACTCCAGAAGAGAACATGCACTTATAGTAGTTGGTATTTGATGGAGCAGGTGAAGTGAACACAGACAATGCACATGGGGTGGCAAAGTGACCTTGCTCAGGGCACCCCTGAGATAGCTGAAATGAAAGTTGATCTTGCAATAGTGTACACAGTAGCGGACTGACCATGTAGGCACTTGGGCACTGCCCGAGGGCCCGGGGTCAGTAGGGGGCCCCATGAGATGCTCCTGGTACCTTTCATAGGCTTTTTTGTGGGTGTGATTTGAGTGTGGGCGAGGACACGGGCCCCATGATTTCCTATTGCCCGGGGGGCCCCATGAGTTGTCAGTCCGCCCCTGAGTGTACATATATTCAGAATGGCTGCTGTAGTTTATTGTACTTTGAACATTATTGTAGCTTCTGATAAGGTGGTTCTGCTCAGTCTTCACTTGTAGTAAACTACTAGATCCTATATCTTAACTTCTTCAAAGTTCCTTTTTAAAATAGTTGACTGAAATGCTAACTACGTTATGTAAGTTTTTTTCTCCATTTCCCTTCGCTTCAGTCTAGTAGACTTGCTCAATATATTCCGCTTCAAATAATAAAAACGCTAAATACGCAGTTAGGATGGATGCACTCTTTTATCTGCCAAAATATTTGTAATTCTGTTCAGTTGCTCTTACGTTTCATTAAACAGAAGTGTTTTTTTTTTTTTTACATCACAGATCTCACAACTGAGTCTTGCTGTTATTTCAGTTGTTCTAGTCTGCTTATGAGTGAGCCATGATACAGTAGTAAGGTTATTTCTTTAAAGCCCAACTCCAGGAAAATATTTTTAATGGTCCCTCAGCAGGGGATTAAAGTGATAAAGCATCACTACTCACTTGCTCTCCTGCACCGTCCCTGGTACTAATGTGTTTCCACCATTAGATGTCCTCAGTCCTTTGGGTTGAATGATACCATTAAATCCAGAAGACTGAGGACATCTTATCAGTGCAGGTTCAGGGTGCCATGGACCTGTCCACCTGAGCTGCCCTGTATTTGCAATGTAACGTTTCAGTGTAATAACGTCACTACCGCTCTCGACAAGTTTGAAGACCACCCAACTAAAAAAAGAGGTGAAGAGGACCCTGCACATCATGTGACCAGGCTGAAGACATCTTAAAAAGGGAATGGATGGCAAACAATTAGATTTATATTTATTGTGGTTTGTGTCCCCATTGGGGAGATTCACCCTTCTGTACTCATGACCATTGTCCCCAAAAAAGAAAGTGTAGAGAAATCCAAAGTGTTATAATTGTCACCAGAGCAAGAGGTAAGGGGAAATCTTCCAATGGGGACACTTGTTCTGGGAAAAACTGTCTAAAAGGATAATTCTCCTTACTTTGGAGCACTTCACTTGTTGAGTCTCTAGGACAGAAAGTGAAGGGAATTTTTTGAATAGTGCCTGGACAGTGTTTTCACTCTTCCCTACACTATCCAAAACAATAAAATAAAGTTTTGGCTATACATTTACTTCAAGTGACCCTTTAATTGTATCAATAGGAAACCTGTTTAAGGCAATTTTATTTCTTAATTACAATAATAAACATGTTATACTTACCTGCTCTGTGCAATGGTATTGTACAGAGCAACCCCAAACCACCTCCTCTGGGGTTCCCTGCAGGCGATCTTGGCTCCTCCTCTTCTTTGTCTGCCCCCATAGCAAGCGCTTGGTATGGGGGCAGATGTGTGAACTTAATCCTGGGCCAGACTATGTGCGTCCATTGACACAAACAGCGCAGCTCAACTCTGCCCCCTGTTCTCTGCTCACAAGATTTTACTGACAGCAGTAGGACCCAATGACTCCTGCTGTTCTCAGCCAAGCTTGTGAGAGTGGGGAGAGAAGGCCAACAGCAGGGTCCAGTACTGGATCGATAGAGGACTTAAGTAAGTATTTAGGGGGGGAGAGCACAGCAAATGGCAAAATGTTATTTTACCCTAATGCTTAACCTTTGGAACAACTTTAATTTTTCCTAATGGAGGATGCACGTAGGAGTTTTTTCAAGTAGTATTCTTAATATTATGAGTAATATGAATGGAACCATATAAAGAGAAGGTACAGACAAAAATATTACTACTTTTTTCTTGTTCAATATCTTCAAATTAAAAACAAGAAAAGAATACAGGCCTCTAAATACAGTGGATATAAAAAGTCTACACACCCCTTTTAAAATGACAGTGATGTAAAAAAATGAGACAACAATAAATCATTTCAGAACTTTTTCCACCTTTAGTGTGACCTACAAACTGTACAACTCAATTGAAAAACAAACTGAAATCTTTTAGGGAGGGAAGTAAACATAAAAAAAAACTAAAATAATGTGATTGCATAATTGTGCACACCCTCTTATTACTGGCGATGTAGCTGTGTTCAGAATCAAGCAATCACATTCAGTATCATGTTAAATAGGAGTCAGTACACACATGCCATCATTTAAAGTGCAACTGATTAACCCCTAATAACGTTCATCTGTTCTAGTCAGTCTTTCCTGACATTTTCTTAGTCGCATCCTACAGCAAAAGCCATGGTCCGCAGAGAGCTTCCAAAGCTTACAGGGATCTCATTGTTAAAAGGTATCAGTCAGGAGAAAGGTACAAAAGAATTTCCAAGGCATTAGATATACCATGGAACACAGTGAAGATCATCATCAGCAAGTGGAGAAAATATGGCACAACACTGACATTACCAAGAGCTGGATGTTCCTCCAAAATTGATGAAAATACGAGAAGAAAACTGGTCTGGGAGGCTGCCAAGAGGCCTACAGCAACATTAAAGGAGCAAGTACTGGCTTTGTGGTACATGTGACAACAATCTCCCGTATTCTTCATATGTCTGGGCTGTGGGGTAGAGTGGCAAGATGTGAGCCTTTTCTTACGAAGAAATACATCCAAGCCTGGCTAAACTTTGCAAAAACACATCTGAAGTCTCCCAAAAGCATGTGAGAAAATGTGTTATGGTCTGATGAAACCAAGGTTGAACTTTATGGCCATAATTCCAAAAGATATGTTTGGCGCAAAAACAACACTGCACATCACCAAAAGAACACCATACCCACAGTGAAGAATGGTGGTGGCAGCATCATGCTTTGGGGCTGTATTTCTTCAGCTGAAACTGGGGTCTTAGTCAAGGTAAATTATGAACAGTTCCAAATACCAGTCAATATTGACACAGAACCTTCAGGCTTCTGCTAGAATGCCGAACATGAAGAGGAACTGTCAGCATGACAATGACCCAAAGCATACATCCAAATCAACAAAGGAATGGCTTCACCAGAAGAAGATTCAAGTTTTGGAATGCCCCAGCTAGAGCCCAGACCTAAATCCGATCGAAAATCTGTGGGGTGATCTGAAGAGGGCTGTGCACAGGAGATGCCCTCACAATCTGACAGATTTTCGGTGTTTTTGCAAGGAAGAGTGGGCAAATATTGTCAAGTCAAGGTGTGCCATGCTGATAAACGCAAACCCAAAAAAAGACTGAGTTCAACAAAGTATTAGTTTAAGGGTGTGCACACTTATGCAACCATATTATTTTAGTTTTTTATTTTTACTTCCCTCCACCTAAAAGATTTCAGTTTGTTGTTCAACTGAGTTGTACAGTTTATAGGTCACATTCAAGGTGCAAAAAGTTCTGAAATTATTTTATCTTTGTCTCATTTTTTTACATCACAGAAACCTGACATTTTAACAGGGGTGTGTAGACTTTTTATATCCACTGTATATAGATATAGCCTTATAAAGCAGCTTACAATAAGATGCTTACAATAATAAAGAACAATCACATAAAAAAAAGACATAACCAGTTAAATAAAGCCTGGTCTGTAAATTAAGAAGACCAGGTAGAAAACACCAATATACAAGTAATTGCAAGCCCCCGGGTATGCAAAAGACAACTGAATGTATGAATGCGATGGTTCAGCTTGAGAGCTTATTAAAGCATAGCTAATGGACAATATAGCTAGTAAAAGTAAGTGTATCACAGTAGGCAGCACAGTGGCTAAGTGGTTAGCATGTCAGCCTAGAAACACTAGGATCGTTGGTTCAAATTCCAAGCACAGCACTACCTGCCTGGAGTTTGCAAGTTCTACCTGTGTCTGCGTGGGTTTCCTCCAGGTACTCTGGTTTCCTCCCACACTCCAAAGACATACTGGTAGGTTAATTGGATCCTGTCTAAATTCCTAATATGTGTATTGTGTGTATGAATATGAGTTAGGGGACCTTAGACTGTACGCTCCTTGAGGGCAGGGACTGGTGTGTATGTACAAAATATATGTGTAAAGCGCTGCGTAAACTGACTTCACTATATAAGTACCTGAAATAAATATCTATGAAGAGATCGAACAAAAAAAGAGAGGGGGGGGGGAGCAAGGGCGGAAGAGAGTATAGAAGACAGAGAACATCCCAGGGGTCTCCAGTAACTAGAAATGGTAAAAAGAATAAAAAGAATGAAAGTACAAGGAAAACAATGTCAAGTGAGAAGCAGGGATTCATCAAAATGAGATGGCAAATAATGGTGTACACAGGGTTGCCAAGTCCTTTTTCATATGAAAAATGAATTATTAGATATCGGCATGAAGCCAACATCAACAGCTTCCCAAGATGTGTTAATTATTCCAGTAGATGTTTTCTGCTAAATATGAAAAAAAATGTTCAAGCTGGTACAGACCTCTGAATGCATTTTCTACCCACTTGTTTTGCAGTGCACAGAAGCCCAGAAGCTGTTTAATATTGCAAATGAGCTGCTCCACACTGAAGAAGCCTATGTGAAAAGGCTCCATCTCCTTGATCAGGTACAATACTGTTTATTTGTGAACCATAAAAACGGCATTGCTGTAGATGCAGTGCATCTGAGCACTTGAATGATACTACATACTATTGCAGGCTATTGAAAAATGGTAAAAGACTGAGAAGTAAACATATACCGCTGTAAAGTCATTAGTGTGACACTTTTCTAAGCATAGCATTGTAGTTATAGATGTGAATTTTCTCATCAGTGTCTACTAAATTGGATTTTTAAAAAACAGTCCAGCACTCAAACCAGGGTAGTTCAAACCGTTATCAGTCTGTAATGCTTCCTCGGGTACAGCTGATATTTATTCCATCTGAGGTGGTGGGACTTCTCTGCGCAGGTTGTCACCCTGGATAACTATGTCATCTCTATCCTTCATGTATCTTTCTGTTGATGGTGGTGGGGTTTGCAATAACTTAAATTATCGAGTAATTTTCATTTTTATATTTTGCAATAAATGGTTTAATTGTTTTTAAAATTCAAAGCCGTGGTTTGTCCTCATTGGGACCCCTTGACCAATGGGATTTCTTTCCTTGGTTTTCTTTCTTTTATATGTTCCTCGGGTGCAGCCCTCCACGAATCGGGAAAATTCCAGAGAACTGTAAAAACACACCCAAGAGGGCGCAGACTCCTTGTGCATTACCTTCATAAAATGTAATCAAATGCCAAGAGACAAAGACATACTCACAATTGCATGAAAACAGCAGGCATATACAAGAAATACAGCCTTAGAAGGCCATCCCATCTCGGAGCCGCCTGGTAGGAAAGCTAACGCATTTCGGAGTCAAGCTCCCTTCTTGACAGCTGCCTCTTGTCAATCTCAATTCCTGTTTCTTGTCAGTCAAGCCACTGACATTACTATACCAATATTTAGGCTAGTAGGAGGATGTAAGAGGGTCTGTAGAAAGTGGCAGTAGTCTGTTGCTGACAAGTGAGTGACAAAGAAATCAACCAATTGTGGGCATCTCACTGCTCAGCTTATACCCTTCTATTGATATGAATTTGGTGCTTTGTCTGTGCAGATCAGTTCAATACTGAATGAAAAGTAGGTAGAATAGTTACAGCTATTGGGTATGAATATATTTAATAACATCCCAGCTGCCATAGATAATAGACTTGAATTGGGAAATTAACTAAAATTGATGCACTCAGAATCAGGTGCGGTTGTGTATAGTAGCCAATAAGCTTCCAACTTCAGCTTGTTCAATTAAGCTTTGACAATAAAACCTAGAAGCTGATTGGTTTCTGTCCAGAGCTTCACCAGATTTTGCACCTTGCAGTTTTAGTAAATGACACCTTATGTGCAAAAGATGGAAAGTGCCAAAAAAGGAAGAGTCATAAAGGTGGCCTCATATTAAAATTAGTATCAACGTGTTTCACGGTAACACAATCCCCCTTCTTCAGGACTTGGAGTTGTATAGAGCAACTACTGCAGTATCCTCAGTGTTTGTCTTTGTTTCTTTTAGAATAGTCTAATTTAGATGAATTTGCAGCAGACAAGTGTGTCAGGTCATATTTTCACTCATTATCCAGATTCAGGAGCAGCCTCATTGCTGTATTGATGGTTTAAAACCTGCTGTCCTTTTGTACCATCAGAACTTTAGACATCCCCCAAACCCCTTATAGATAATAGAGGGCAGTCACTCTTTAGAATGATTGGGAGTTAGATTAGGCAGGGATTATCTTATTTCTTCTATACAGTGCTTGAAAAAGTATTCATACCCCTCAAAATTGTTCACATTTTGTCCTGTTACAACCAAAACGTAAATGTATTTTATTGGGATTTTATTTGATAGACCAACACAAAATAGAACATAATTGTGAAGTGTAATGAAAATGATAAATGATTTTCAATTTTGTTTTACAAATAAATATCTGAAAAGTGTGGCGTGCTTTTGTATTCCGCCCCTTTACTCTGATACCCCTAACTAAAATCTAGTGGAGCCAATTGCCTTCATACATCACCTAATAAGCAAATAGAGTTCACCTGTGTGTAATTTTAATCTCAGTATAAATATAGCTGTTCTGTGAAGCCCTCAGAGGTTTGTTAGAGAACATTGGTGAACAAATAGCATCATGAAGGCCAAGGAACACACCAGACAGGTCAGGGATAAAGTTGTGGAGATGTTTAAAGCAGGGTTAGGTTATAAAAAAATATCCCAAGCTTTGAACATCCCACGGAGCACTGTTCAATCCATCATCCAAATATGGAAAGAGCATGGCACAAGTGCAAACCTACCAAGACATGGCCGTCCACCTAAACTGACAGGTTGAGCAAGGAGAGCATTAATCAGAGAAGCAGCCAAGAGGCCCATGTTAGCTCTGGAGGAGCTGCAGAGATCCACAGCTCAGGTGGGAGAATCTGCCATGGGGCAACTACTAGTCGTGTGATCCACAAATCTGGCCTTTATGAAAGAGTGGCAAGAAGAAAGTCATTGCTGAAAAAAAGCCATAAGAAATCCTGTTTGCAGTTTCCGAGAAGGCATGTGGGATACACAGCAAACGTGGAAAAAAATTTTACTTTTTGGCCTAAAAGCAAAATGCTGTGTGTGGCGGAAAACTAACCCTGGACATCACCCTGAACACCCCATTCCCACCGTAAAACATGTTGTGGTGATGCTTTTCTTCAACAGGGACAGGGAAGCTGGTCAGAGTTGATGGGAAGATGGATGAAGCCAAATACAGGCCAATCTTAGAAGAAAACCTGTTAGAGTCTGCAAAAGACTTGAGACTGGGGCGGAGGTTCACCTTCCAGTGGGACAACGACCCTAAAACCTACAGCCAGAAATACAATGGAATAATTTAGATCAGGGGTCTCCAAACTTTCTAAACAAAGGGCTAGTTTACAGTTGTTAAGACTTTAGGGGGGCCAGACTGTGGACAGTGGGAGTAGAAGTTTTGTCCTGGCATTAGTGAGAGTAAATGATGTTCCATTTTTAGTATTGGAGGAAGGAATAGTGCCCCATCTTTGGCATCAGTTCAATGAATAGTGCACAATCAATGGTGTCCAATGGTGTCAGTGGGAGGAATAGTGCCCCATCATTGGTATCAGTGGGAGCAATAGGGCACCATCTTTGGTATTAGTGGAAGCAGTAGTTCCCCATTATTGGTGTCAGTGGAAGGAATAGTGCCTCAGCATTGATGTCAGTGAATTAAAACTGCCCTGTCGGTGCCAGTGCAGGACTTATTGCCCTGCTGTTGGTGTTAGTTGGAGGAATATGAACTCATATCAGTGGTGCCTGAAGGGCCCGATCAAAGTAAGCAAAGGGCTGTATCAGGCCCCCGGGCCACAGTTTGGTGACCACTGGTTTAGATCAAAGCATATTCATGTGTTAGAATGGCCCAAAGTCCAGACCTAAATCCAACTGAGAATGCAAGACTTGAAAATTGCTGTTTACAGACACTCTCCAACAATCTGACATTGCTTGAGCTATTTTGCAAAGAAGAATGGGCAAAGATTTCACTTTCTAGATGTGCAAAGCTGGTAGACACATACCCAAAATGACTTGCAGCTGTAATTTCAGCTAAAAATGGTTCTACAAAGTATTGACTCAGGGGGGCTGAGTACAAATGCACGCCTCACTTTTCAGATATTTATTTGTAAACATTTTTGAAAACCTTTTATCATTTTCCTTCCACTTCACAATTATGTGCCACTTTGTGTTGGTCTATCCCCTAAAGTCCCAATAAAATACATTTGCATTTTTGGTTGTAACATGACAAAATGTGGAAAATTTCAAGGGGTATGAATACTTTTTCAAGGCACTGTAAATATATTATTTATATAGCGTCAACATATTATGAAGCTTGTATTTAACTGTCCCTAGCCAACGTAATGCTGACCATGCACCTTATAATATGGTATGTAGTGCAAGGGCCTCTCTGACTGAACAGAAATTGAATGGATTTTCAGATTGGCCCTACCACTTACAAATTGTTGGCTCATCTAAAGGAGACTTTACAAACATACAATCAGATTGTAAAGTATAGGGGCATATTTATATAGACATATGCAGGAGGTCTGGTAAGGTTGCACTAAAATTACCTTACTTGTATATTTTCATTTGTGGGTTTCTAGACAAAATTTTGACATACATGGGGAAAACACATGGTCTTAATGCAGATTCAAAGAGAGATGTGAATTCAGGACCTATGGTCCGAGGGTATAGTGCTATCCATGTTGGCTACTATTCTCATCAATAGGTACTTTTGATGATGTCTTTCGTGTATACTGCCTAACCCAAATTGTGACTTGTAGTACTTTGGTATCTCCACCCTCACAGTAATAACTGATAGAATGTGATCATGTTCAACTGGAATTGTTCAAGGCTGGTTAAATGTGACTTATTACTACTGGCTATACTATGACCTGGATAAACAAAATCCTTCACAGACATATTGCAAAAGTAATATATCAAGTTTAGAATAAAATAGTATGGGTTAGAAATGAATTTTATTTTATATAATTTTCATGTGGTTACATTCTCTACCATTGCATTTATATTTAGTAATAATAAGGCAATGGAAATCTGTTCAGAAGAATTTACCATAAATTGTGTCTCCACAGTCATGATTAGAAAACCCATGTGGCTGAGCCCACTGAGAAGCTGCCACCTGTAACAAGACAATCATCTGCACCCGAGGCATTCCCTGCTCTGTACCTATACACACCCCCTGTATACATGGGGCAGCGGGACAGGGAATGCCCCTGCCGCATATGATTGGCCTATTACAGCTTCCCCGCAGGCTTGGAAATGTGTGTTTGGAAGCGCATCTGATCATGCCCAACCTAGTCATGATAGTCCACGCTAATCCCTACTCCTGGTATGTAAGTCAGTTGATCAACATCAAAGAAATAAAGCCCCTTGTGCAGGGCAGGGAAATCCACTGCTTAATGGTTGGTCCATTACAGGTGACAGCTTCCTGGTGGGCTCAGCCGTGTGGGTTCAGAACAGCATCTGATCACGCACAAGCTCATCCTTAGCCATGATAGCCAAATCTAATCCCTAGTCATGATAGCTCAAGATAATCCTAATCATGATATGTAAATTAGTTGATCATCAAAGTAATATGCTCCTTGTATACAACCGGCTACTGGGGAGGGGGGGGGGGGGAGATGCCCCTGCTGCAGAGGATTGGCCCATTACAGCCTGCTTCCTGGCTGGCTCAACCTTTTAGGTTCAGAAGAGCAATCCAAACATGCCCAAGCTCATCCCTTATTATATGTAAGTAAGTTAGTCGATCATCAATGGACTACAAAAGCTACGATGAGCATCCTTTACTACATATACAGACTAATTGTACTGTTGTGGCTTTAATAAAACTTTGCAAATTGGGGCTATTAGCCTCCTGGATCACCCAGGAATCTCCCCAGTTTAGCAGTGCTAAAGTGCAGACTTACTCAGATTTATTTGGGTGAGTGAATATATGAAATTATATAGTCTACTTGAGAATTTGCTGATTTTTGAGCAAAACCACCATATATGTTGTGCCAGGCCTTCCTGGGTAAAGCATCCGGTACAAAAGAGGCTAATCTGTTGGAACTATAAACCGTTCTGGCAACACCTTGTTTGCTTAAATAATTGAGGTAGTTGTAAATGTCTTAGATGCCCTAGCTGCCATTTTATGCCATTCTTACAGTTTTATCTCCTCCCCAGGTCCTGACCCATGTTTTTCTATTCTAATAGAACAGAGGTGTCCAAACTATCTAAATGAAGGGCCAGTTTACTGTCCTTCAGACATTAGAAGGGCTGGATTTTGGCCAGTGGGGGTAGGAAATATCCTGGACTCAGTGGAAATAAACAATGCCTCAGGCTTTGTGGTCAGTGACAGTTTTGAAATTACATAGCACTTTTGGTCAGTAGAAGGAATAGTGCCCCACTATTGATATGTTGGAAGAATAGTGCCCCATCGTTGGTGTCAGTGGCAAGAATTATGCCCCACTCTTGGTATCAGTGGGAAGAATAGAACCTCAAGGGCTAGATAAATGTTAGCAAAGGGCTGCATTTGACCCGCATGCTGCAGTTTGGAGACCACTGTAATGGAATATTAAGTGCTTGTATTACCAGTGTACCCATAGTTTCTGCTTCCTTGACCTCTACAAAATGCCCATATTCTGTCAGAATTTGTGAACTAATGCTAAATTAAACTATTTTTCAGGTATTCTGCACAAAATTAGCTGCAGCAGGAATTCCACCTGAAGTGACGACGGGTATATTTTCTAATATTTCATCCATCTACTGCTTTCATGGCCAGTTCCTGTTGCCTGAACTAAAGGCGCGGATTACCCAGGAGTGGTGCGTTCCTTACCTCTTTTACCATTTGCTAAATAAACGTTTAGGTATACTAGTAGTGGATACCCAGATTATTTTCAACTATGTGGAGTTTATTGACCTTGCATCATTACTGATTTAGAAAGGAAAGGGAAAGAGGGTGAAGAGGAGTAAACCACAACAAACATAACCTGATAACCTTTCAGGTCTAAAATGCTCTCCAGAGACTTGATGGTGGGAGTCACCTTTATGGATGTGACAAGCCAAGTGTGTTCGATTGTCAAAGGCCTTGGTCCTATAAAAAAAAAAAAAAAAAAAATCCACATGAGGGTGAGTGGTACAGTATTTCTGTGCTCTTCCACCTTTAAATAATTATGTCTGGGAATATATAAAGGAGTTAATTCAGCTGGTGACAACAATCAATTGAAAAGCCAAGCTTGGGCACTCTATTCAGGACTCTATTCAGGACAATACGCTATATTGCCAAAAGTATTGGGACACCCCTTCAAACCATTGGATTCAGGTGTTCCAATCACCTCCATGGCCACAGGTGTATAAAATCAAGCTCCCAGCATGCAGACCGCTTCTACAAACATTTGTGAAAGAATGGTTCGCTCTCAGGAGCTCAGTGAATTCAAGTGTGGTACCGTGATAGGTTGCCACCTGTGCAATAAGTCCATCCGTGAAATTTCCTTGCTACTAAATATTCCACGGTCAGCTGTTAGTGGAAGCAACTGGGAACAACAGCAACTCAGCCACGAAGTGGTAGGCCATGTAAAATGACAGAGCGAAGTCAATGCATGCTGAAGCGCACAATGTGAAGAAGTGGACAACTGTCTGCAGTCAATAGCTAAAGACCTCCAAACTTCATGTGGCCTTCAGATTAGCACAACAATGCAGAGAGGGCTTCATGGAATGGGTTTCCATGGCCAAACAGCTGCAACCAAGCCTTAGAGTACATCACCAAGTGCAATGCAATGCAATGCAAATCAGTGATGTAAAGTACGCCACCACTGGACTCTAGAGCACTGGAGACGTGTTCTCTGAATTGACGAATCACGCTTCTGACAATCCAGTGGACGTGTCTGGGTTTGGCGGTTGCCAGGAGAATGGTACATGCCTGACTGCATTGTGCCAAGTGTAAAGTTTTGTGGAAGGCGATTAGGGTGTGGGGTTGTTTTTCAGGGGTTGGGCTTGGCCCCTAAATTCTAGTAAAAGGAACTCTTAAGGCACCAGCATACCCAGACATTTTGGGCAATTTCATGCTCCCAAATTTGTGGGAACAGTTTGAGGATGGCCACTTCCTGTTCCATCATGACTGCACACCAGTTCACAAAGCAAAGTCCATAAAGAAATAGATGAGTGAGTTTGGGGTGGAGGAACTTGACTGGCCTGCACCTCAACTCGATAGAACACCTTTGGGATCAATTAAAACGGAGACTGCGAGCCAGGTCTTCTCGTCTGATATCAAAGCCTGACCTCACAAATGCGCTTCTGGTAGAATGGTCAAATATTCCCATAGACACACTCCTGAACCTTGTGGACAGCCTTCCCAGGAGAGTTGAAGCTAGTATAGCTGCAAAAAGTGGGCCAACTCAATATTGACCCCTACGAACTAAGTCTGGGATGCCTTTAAAGTTCATGTGTGTGTAAAGGCAGGCGTCCCAATACTTTTGGCAATATAGTGTATGTTTTAGATACATATCGTAAAGCACACCACGCTTGCAGATCTGAGTTTGAGAGAGCAGTTTGCTCTATTATGCGTTTACTGTGAGTTTGGTTTCACTCTACACACCCACTGCTGGTAACATAGGGGGAGGTTTACTAAAACTGGTGCACTCAGAATGTGGTGCAGCTGTGCATGGTAGCCAATCAGCTTCTAACTTCAGCTTGTTCAATTAAGCTTTGACAAAAAAAAAAAACTGGAGCCTGACTGATTACTGTGCAGAGCTGCACCAGATTTTGCGCCATGCAGTTTTAGTAAATACCCCCCATAGGGTAGCCCCATATGTGTTAGTGGATATGTTTTAGGTAGTGTGGTCATTTAGGTTTCCTGAAACTGAAAGTTTATCTTTTAAAGGGAATTATCAGTGGAGTTTTCTGTTTTAAACTCAGACATACCATCTTAAAGCTGAAGTTTGGATATGGCAATTTTTACATTGATCAAACTTGAATCAATGTAAGTATGTATGTGCCATACCTGTGGGATACCCATGGAAGCTGGAAATCACTTTAGTAGGCACTGTTACTACAATGATTGCTGCTAGCTTTCGGGACTCATGCCCTACTGCCTACTTAACACAAGAGATTGCTTGCCTGGCACGAGCACCATTCAGAGGAGACTTTGCATTTTCCACAAGAATGCAAAGTGTTCTATGATTTGATGAGGTGGAGATTGTGACATCACTGCTCTGCCTTTCCTACTCATTCAGTCAAAGAGCATTCATTGAGAATTAATTGAGAAAATACAAAGTTTTCCTGAATGGCTCCTGTGTTGGGAAAGCAAACTCCTGTGTTCACAATGCTGCCTTGTCCAATTTAACTATTTAAAAATTGCAATACCTAAAGTTCACATTCCAAATAACAACCTGTTTGATCAGCAAAAGGTAATGTGATGTTCTGTAGGTTTGCAAGCTTTTGGCCATGTTAGAGTCCATTATTTTAAAACAAAAATGCAATATTTGGGTTCATAGGTTGCTTGTGGTGGTTGTTTTAAGAAGGTCATTACTAGCCCCTCCAAAAAATGACATAATTAAGCCCATTAAATCTGAATATCATAGCTTCTATGAATGGAGGGAGTCGGACTTTTCAATCACCTGTCCATTGTCAATCCATAGATTCTGTTTCATTTATAGAAGATATAGTAATGGCTTCTATAAATGGAGAAGCTAAGCAGAAAGGGTGAGCATAGTCGGGATGACAGCTCCTCAGTTCCATTAAACCCCTGCAGCACCGGAAGACTATGGCTGTTGGGTTGGGGGGGGGGGGGGGGGCTCAATGAAGAGTGGCAGATTTCCACTAGGGATGCACTGAAATTTTGGCGGCCGAAATGATCCCTGTAGGGATTTTACTGATAGGAAAAAGTGAGCCGATACAGGTGCAAATAATTGCGGCCTAAGGGGCGTACTTACTTTTGGCCGGAGGGTTTGGGGGGCTGTGTGTACTGGGGAGGGGGGGGGGGGGGCGGAGAAAGGCAGGAGGGGAGGTAAGCAGTGTATACAGACAGGCTCCCTCACTTAACGCCACCAAATGCCATTGCCAGTTTTTAAATGCAATTGCTGGCTTTTTTTCTCTTCACTTTATAGCTCCAAGAAGGAGCTGTCATTCACCTGCCGCTAAAGTAAACAAAGGGGCGGGGTCACCCAGTGAGTATACTTTAGATGTGAGGCGAATGACCGCTCCATCCCAGAGCTATAAAGTGAAGAAAAAGTCATCAATTGCATTTAAAAACCAGCAATGACATTTAGCGGTTGCTATAAAGTGAAGACAAAAAAGCCGGCAATTGCATTTAAAACCCAGCAATGACATTTACTGGTGGCAAGTGATAGAGCCTGTCTGTGTACACTGCTCCCTCACTGTATACACTTCTCCTCTCCTGCCCCCTCCTTGCACAGACTGCCCTCCCCACCCCTCCCCCCCTACAAAGAGGATCTGTCACTTATATGATATCACATTGTGATATCAATAAAAAAATACCTGTAAGTTAAAAAAATAAATAAAAGCACACATTAAAAGTTTAGAAAAAAAAAAAAAACTGAGCCCCCCCCACATATGCAGACATTTTGGTTTTAAGCCAAGTGCATCCTGAATTTTCAATTCCGGCATCAGAATTTTAATTTCGGTGCACCACTAATTTCCACTGTACTAGAAGACAGAAGAAAGAAGCACAAGGGACACATCACACTGAATGCAAGTAATGCCCTTCCAAGAATGCTGCTGGGTGCCACCGTATTGAATGTGATGTAGGCAGCCGCAGCAGATTCCGAGATGTCACTCAAGTAATACCCTATAGAATCAATACCCAGTTAGCTACATAAAAAGTGATGTAAGGAGGTTAAGGGGAGGAACAGAAGAGCTAGGCCAGCACAGAGTGCAATTAGACATTCCCAGAGGAGGGAGCTGTGTTAGGGAATTGACTCTTCTTGAAGTAGTCAGATTTTCAAGGAAGATAAAAGGCGCATTTCAAGTAAATAAAAAATAATTTGTGGAAAGGAAACACTGCAAGTAAATATTTAAAATACTTGATTTGTCTGTGCTTTTGTCAGCAATTTTGATATTGGTGACAGGATTTCTTTAAAACAACTTTCTAGGAGTACAAACCCTCGAATTGGGGATATCCTACAAAAGCTGGCGCCATTCCTTAAGATGTATGGAGAATATGTCAAGAACTTTGATAAGGCTATGGATATGGTAAATACCTGGACTCAGAGGTCTCCTATCTTCAAAGAGGTTATCCACACTATTCAGGTATTATGACTCACTGAATCTATTGCCATGATTGTTATCTTTAATGCCTTAACTATAGTGCTGCGCTCACTTTGTTCTATAGCTAATAGTTTCAAACATCCCCATCTGCTAGTATCACAAGTGTTCTGTTTGATGCTGACAACAGTTCATTGTCTGTGATCTTTTGCTTTCAGAGTCCAAGAAACAGGAGAGGCTTAGATCCTGTACTTGTGGCCTTTCTTTACTCTCTAACACTGGGGCCACATGAGTGTCAGTGAGTTCAGCATTCTTGCTTGTAAAGGAAGAAAAAAAATCTTTTCTCCAGAGGCAGAATACATTTCCTTGACACAAGAAGTTCAGGGAATGTTAAGTACGTGGTAACTGTGGCAGCCTCAGGCTCTGTAAGCAAGACCCTTGGGTATAGGCCTTTGCAGTTTGGTCAATGAGCCCTAATAGCCCTTTGAGCCAGTCTACTAGGCTCGTCAAAGACATGCAGGCTTTTAGTGTGTAATGGAAAATACTGTGTATTTCCATGGCCAACAAAACCGTTCTGAATCATCCAGCATCACTATCAAATAATTTAAATGTCTTAAAGTCGAAATATGGACAACATTAAAAATAACATACTGTAGTCTGTCACTAGCATTAGCACATACACTTTTTTTCCATAACATCATTTTATTATTTGTTGATCCTGCCAGTAGTTCTATTATTGTTATATTTCAGAAAACAGGGTGACAACACCCTGCAGTAAATCACTGCAGTAATGTCACCCTGTAGACAGGACAGTCTTGGATAGACATGTAGTTTTAGATGGTGTTCAGTAAATGACAAACAATACTGCCAGTGTTACCTGGTTTGTTCCAACTTGCTGCACTTTTGATAGACAGCTTGAGCTATATGTAGGTGTGGAGAAAGATGTAAACAAAGACCTGTGAAATAAAAAAACCCCAAAGGAATTCATATACTAAATATTATCAATACAAGTATCAACCACATACAGATGTCCAGATACAATCTGGTTCTGGTACCATTAAAAATGTCTATTAGGCTGCATTCACATTTGCGAATCGGGCCATATGGTATTACATGTAGGAAACCTACTGAAAGCAATGGGAGGCTGACAGCTCCCACAGCTACTTACAGCCACTTGCATGTATTTGCTCATGGAGCAACTACCTGCGAATAAGCAGCACCCTGGACATATAGAGGTGATTTACTAAAACTAGAGCGTACAACAACTGGTACAGCTGTGCATGGTAGCCAATTAACTTTTAACTTCACCTTGTTCAGTTGTTGTTTGACAAAAAAAAAACTGCAGCTGAATGGTTTCTATGCAGAGCTACGCCAGATTTGGCACTCCTTCAGTTTTAGTGAATCAACCCCATGTTGTCTGTGTCCAGGACCGATCACACCCAATGTCTTCCCTGCCATCCACTGCAGATAATCAAACACAAATCCTTCTTGTCTAACTGCTTACCTGGCTACAATAGCTAGCAAACGACAGCTCTGAACCAAAAAAAAGTGATTAAATGTTAGTCATTTCTGGATTCATTCGTCACAGAGGAAATGGGGGAACAGTTGTTCCCTGAGTTCCCCTCGTTCTCCATCCAGAAGTAATTTATCCCACTCGGGCTCTCTAGAGGAACAGGAGAGCTGGGGGGGCCACAGCAGGCAGCACCGACAGGAGGGTAGATTTGGACACTAACCCTTTATTAGGGCTTGTGTATTTTATAATCTCTAAATTTGGTTTGCTTTGATTGAAAGGGAACAATAGTATATATGTTGTATGATATATAAAGTTTCTGCCACTCAGGGCCATGGATAAGGGCCTCCTGTACAGGGCCCAGGACAAACTGGGGGGCCCAGGCAGCTGGGTGAATTAGATATGGGAAGGAAGGGTAATTGGCATGGCGGGGGAGCAAGTACTGGAACTGATCCTCTTCTACTGGCTCTCCCGCTGGCTTTTCAGCTGCTGCAGAGAGAGCCATACAGGGGATCGGTTCTACTAATTGCCCCCTCCCCCACTGCTCCTATCACCCTCCCTGTGTGCACCATTCGTTTCCCCCTGCTGCCTAGGCTTCCCTGTGTGCCCCCACAGTGCTGCCAGCTTCCCTCCTCCTTCCCACCGGCAGCTGCAAGCACACAATAGGATCATTCAGGATGGAGGAAGGGTCCGGTAAATACTGTATGTAACATTTACTAGCCCCTTCCTTTTCTGAATGAATAATATGAGTGATCAGTACTGATCACTCACTGTGTTCATTCATACCTAAAATATAGTAAAATTTGTTTTTTTTTCTGGTGGGGGGGCTGTCAGGTTGGCTGTATGGGGACCCCTGGTTTCTAACAGCAGTCTGTGCAGCATGGAGCTGTAGAAGTCTACCTTACCCAGGTGGAATAATGTCAGTGGCCTTCTCCCTCCCATACTTTGGTTACTCAGGCCCATGCACTGTCATATGGGGGAGGTCACTTGCAACTCCCCCTCCCCCCACCTGAAAACCTTGCGCCACTAGAGCTAGAACAATGATGGACACCGTCATTCTGTCCTGAAATGAACAAAGTGACAGCGTCTCTTTATTTCGTTATCAGTTACTTTGTTTGTTATGTGATTAAATGCATTTTGTTGGCTATTCTTGCCAAATTTTAGGCACTGACATTTTTGGTTCGAAGACACTCCTGTGCTAAAAACAGCCAAACCAATTTTCAGAAATCACAAAACCAAAGCTGCAACCTAGTGCCTGTGGGAATAAGGAAAGCTCTTCATTTTTACTTTAAAAAATAGATATTTCTTGTAAGCTCAAGAATTTCATTTAATTACATACCTTTATTGCAAAAATTACTTCAGGCTTTCATCATTTCAGTTCCTTGCAATCCTGCATTTCCAATTCCCTCTGATTCTGGTGGTTCTGTCGGGAGGATAAACATTAGAAACAGTCTTCAAACACACGATGCGGTTTATGTCACCCCTGAGGGCTGAGAGAGTAAGGAAGGAGGGAAAACCTCTGTCAGGTTTTTAATTGCTGTCTGTCTACCTAATGAGGAGATTTCTTTTTACTGCTAGACAGAGTATGAAGTGAATGGACATCCCCTCAATCCAGTTGGGATACAGACAGTGCAGTTTAAAAAAACACCTGTATATTTGCTGAAGTGTGAAAAGGGTTGGAACCTCTGCAGGTTTTTATTGTTTGTGTTACCCATTTGGGAGATTTCTTCTTATTTTCCTGTCCACATGAAACGGTGACACGCTCTGAACAGGAAGTGAATGGACATTCCTCTTGATGCTGAGAACACAGACATCAGTGAATAAAAATATTTTTAATAGACTGGGGAGGAATTTGAACTTCCAAAGATTTTTTTTTTTGCCATTTGTGTCCCAGTTGTGGAGATTTCTCCTTTAGTATTAAATGAATGTAGAAATAAATTTAATTTAAAATGATATGTAAAGGCGTATTTTAAAAAAAATAACAAAACATGTTATACTTACCTAATGGATGCATTACCTTATATAAATGCAATGGTTTTACACAGAGCAGACCTAAACCTCCCTCTTCTGAGGTTACCCTGCTGGTGCTCTTGGCTCTTCTACATTTCTGTGAGGTCCCCCCTTAGTAAGGGGCCACTTGCTAAGGGGATACTATTGTGGGCTTGATCCCGAGGCTGGGTTAGTGGGCATCTATTGACTACACATAGCGCAGCTCAGCCCCACCCCTGCTCCCTCCTGACTGCATTTGACTGACAGTAGCAAAAGCCAAGGCTCTCCACTGCTGCTGAGTATCCTGTGAGAGGATACAGTTGTGGCCAAAATTATTCAACCCCAATGCTGTAAAGGGGTTTAGGGGGACTTAGTGGTACATTTGGAATTGTATTCAGAATCAAATTCCTACAAGGACGTTGTAATACCTCAAATGCAACTCTAAAATGACATCAATTGTTTATGTAATACAGTAGTAAATGGTTCTTATGTGGTTTCTTCATTGCCACAATTATTCAACCCTTAAAGACTACCACTTGAAGAACAGAGGTTTTCCTACAGGTTGCTTCCATCAGTATTGAAAACACTGTGGATGTCACCGCAGCAGCAATCAAGCATAATAAGCAACCAATTAGGCAGCTTTAAAATGACTGTGATATCAGCTCCTTCTAGACATTTACTGGTGTGGCTTACAAACATGGTGAAGGCAAGAGAATGGTCCAGGAAGACAAGGAGAAGAGGTGATTTCTCTTCACAGGAAGGGCAATGGCTATAAGAAGATTGCAAAGATGTTAAAACATACAAGAGACACTTAGGAGCATCATTCGCAAATTCAAGGCAAAGGGCACTGTTTGAAACGCTACTGGTCGTGGCAGAAAGAAGATGCTGACTTCGACTGCTGTGCGCTACCTGAAGCGTAGAGTGGAGAGAGTTCCCGTGTGACTGCTGAGGAACTGAGAAAAGATTTGTCAGATGTGGGTAGCAGAAGTTTAGCCCAGACAATAAGACGCACACTGCGTAATGAAGGCCTCCGTGCCAGAATCCCAGGCGTACCCCTTGCTGTCTCCAAAAGAATAAGGGGGGGGGACAAGAGTCGACTGCAGTATGCCAAAAGCCATGTGGACAAACCACAAAAGTTGTGGGATAGTGTTCTGTGGGGACTGATGAAACAAAATTAGAAAAATGTTTGGGGCCCATGGATCAAAACGCTATGTTTGGAGGAGGAAGAACAAGGCCTATGATGAAAAGAACACCTTGCCTACTGTGAAGCATGGTGGAGGGTCAATCATGCTTTGGGGCTGTTTTGCTTCTGCAGGTACAGGGAAGCTTCAGCGTGTGCAAGGTACCATGAATTCTCTTCAGTACAGGAGATATTGGATGGAAACGTGATGCAGTCCGTCACACACACCTGAGGCTTGGGAGACGTTGGACCTTTCAACAGGACAATGATCCAAGCATACCTCCAAGTCCACTAGAGCATGGTTGCAGAGGAAAGGCTGGAACATTTTGGGAGTGGCCATCGCAGTCACCAGACTTAAATCGATTG